ATGGGGAAGTGAGAACCGTTGGGAGGAGGTGGTCACGCTGGGTCTTTGTGCCCAGGCAGGCGGCTCCGTCCAAGGGTCTGCAGCCCTGGCGAGGCCCCAGCTGGACGGTTGGCTCTCCTGGGGGTCAGGGGACGGGCAGGGCGAAGCCACCCTTGTCCAGCGCAGCTTCCTACGCAGAAGGCCCCTGGGGTCCGGGGCTCGTCCCTACTCAGCAGAGGCGAGAGCCGGTGGCTCCTGAGGCCCGAGGCCGGCTTTCCTGCGCGCCCCTGGGCCACCCCCTGGGGCGCAGTCCCCCACGCTGTCCAGAGGCCCCAGCTCGGGCCTGTCCTGTGGGACACAGCCCAGGCGGCCACCTTTCCCAAACTCCTGGAGGCCCCTTGCTCCCCTAGCGCCTCATCCCCGCCCCTACAGGCACCTCCCCACAGCACAAGCGCCTCCAGTTCAGCACCGCCCCCGGGTCGGGACAGCCACCTCCAGCTGCCCAGTCCTGTGCCCAGCTGCCCAGTCCCAGAGGGGGCGTCCAGCGGCAACCAGTGATGGCCCTGCTGGGCCTGTCTGAGAATGCTCCTGGTGGGTGCCCAGTGCCCCCAGGAGCAGCTAGCTCCCCCACAGAGCACAGTGGGCGGAGCACAGGTCCAGCAGGGAGGGCTGGGACAGAGGAGTGGGTGGTAGCGCCCCCAGTGGCAGCGGCCAGGTGCCGAGCGGGACCCGCCGGTCTCCAAACCCCGCGGTCTGGGTCCCTGGCTCAGACAAGAGGTGCCTGCACCCACTCAGCCCTGCACTCTGCCCCCACGCGGCCTGGAGGGCCCCCGCCGCCCCGAAGTCGCCTTAGGCGCACCACGCTTGTCTCTTCTGCACCTGCTGGCTAAACTTGCCACCACTCAGAAGCTAACGGCAGGGCGTGCTGGGCACAGAAGAGCTGACCCCACGGGCCGTGGGCGCCCACCCGGATGGACTCTCCTGGGCACCCGGTGTGGGGAGGGCCGCTCCCCCTGGGCACAGAGGGGGCCTCGGGCGGCTTCCCGTGCCGGCTGGGGCTGTGGGGAGACCCAGCGAGGCAAGGAGGCAGGCTGACCCCGCGGGCCACCTCTCTGCTCCCCTACGAGGGCCTGTCCCTCTTGGCTTCCGGACACCGGTGGCCAGCAGCACACCCTCAGTGGCTTGGGGGCTGGCCTGCGGCTGAGCTCTGCACAGGGGCGGCGGCCCTCTGCATGAAGCCCTCTACAGAGGTGCTGCTGGCCGGTGTCTGGCGCCTGTGGGCAGGTCTGCTACTCCCCGGGCCCAGTCCCAGATGGCCAGGCCACCCATGCTTCCCCCCAAGGCCTCCGAGCTGTGGGACATGCCCCCGCGCCATCCTGCTCCTGGCCCAGCACCGGGGACCCTCTGGGAGGGAGCTCATGTCCCTCCTGGAAGCGGGAGCCGGCGGCCAGCAGACGATGGCCCACATGGAGCCAGTATCAGTCCAGGGCAGAGTCCAGGTGACACCCACGGCGGTGCCCTGGCCGTGGAGCAGCGGCTGCAGGGAGCTCCCGAAGGCCGGGTCACGAAGTACAGGGCGCCGGGGCCTGCCGCACGCCCAGCTGCAGCGGTCAGTGCCCCCAGGCGCGCGGAGGCCGGCGCAGGACGACGGCAGTGGGGGCCAGCTATCGGGGAGGACCCCTCGGGCGTGGCCAGCGCAGGGCTGGGCATCAGCGTCGCGCAGCCCTGCTGTGCTGCTAGAGAGGGCCTGCCCGGTGTCAGCGCCCTCCTGGAGCCTGGGGACCGAGGGCGCCTGATCCAGCACCCGACCCGGCTGGGAGAGGGTGGCGCGGGGTCAATGTGGGCGCTTGGGGCGGGCTCCCGCGGCCGTGACCGTCCAGCCAGGGCCTCCTGCCCACATTGCTGGGCCGGGGGCCATCCCCTGCCACCTCTGACCCCCATCGCCACGTGGGAGCGGGCTGCTGAACTACAGGGGTCTGGCCAAGCTGCGAGGCCCGTGGCAGCCGTCCAGCTGGGGCAGCTCCACCCCGCCGGCCGCCGGGGCCACTCGCCGGCCCTCAGCCCGCAGAGCCTCTGCGGAAGGGCTTTGTCCCGCGGGGCTGGCCTCCTGCCACTGAGAGGACACAAGCCCGCAGAAAGGAGGACGGCGCAGGGCCGTGGGGCTGGGCGGCCCCTGCTGTGGACGGGGCGCCCCTGGCTGCAGGGGGCTGCCTGCCCGGACCTGCTGACCCCATGCGCTGCCTGGGACAGACCCTACAGCTTCTTTGTGAAATGGCCCCCGGCGCCACTGGGCGAAGGAGTCGCGGCTTCAGCGCCGGCCGTGGGAGGGAGGTGTGGCCGTGGGCTTGGGGCCACTGGGGAGGCCCGGACACAGGGTGGGCCCTGGGTGGACTCTGGCCATAGCTGGCCAGCGGGCGGTGAGGTCCTGTCCTGCCAGAGGGTCTCTGCGGTGTTGCTGGGGCTCCAGGTGGCTGTCCCTGTGGGGACGGGACTCGCCAGGGAGTGACTCCATGGGGGCTCCCCGTCTCCACGCTGCCCCCTCAGCAGTGGACTCCAGTGGGTCTGCCTGCTCTGCTCCCCACTGTTTCTGGGGAGACCTCTCACCACCACCTCTGGCCTGCACCCCAGCTCTTGTTGCATAAATAAATAAATCTTTGGAAAACCTCTGTGTGAATGACACATTTCAAACTTGCCAGTTTATGAGAAAGCCAAGTGGGCACTGGGGGCACCTGGCTGCGGGAGTCGGGTGATGGGGTGGAGTGGTGGAGTGGGTGATTTTCTGGAGAAGCTGAAGAGCCCCGGCGAAGAGCCCCGCTCCCCTGGCAGCCTGGGCAAGACCCTCCGGCCTGGATGCAGCTGGACCACCCCATCCTGTCTGGGGTGTCCACGAGGCTGCAGCCACGTGTCGCTGGACAGAGGTGGCCCACAGGGGCACAGAAAGGGCGTAGGAGCGGGGCCTGGGTCCGGATCTGCTCTTGGAAAGGACCAAGGGTGGGCAGCAGGACACACCGGGCCCAGTGGGAACAGCCAGGCGCTCCTGGCAGGTGGGGACCCCTGGGCGGGACTGCGGCACCCCCAGACAGGCAGAGCCTCCCAGCACAGCGACAGCGCAGCTGCCAGTCTGAGGGGTGGGCCCCTGGATGCAAAAGGCCCTAAGGCCCCGGCTCAGGTGGGCGGGCCAGGGGCCCCCGAGGAGTGTGCCCAGCACCGTCTTTCGGGGAGACCCTGCGCGGACATGTGGGAGCAGAGGTCTGAAGAGCCGTGTGGGAACGGGGGCGAGGCCGCCCTGGGCCGGACCCCCACACGCGGAGCCCAGCTGTGGCTCTGACAAGGCGCAGCCTGGCCTCCCGTCGCCGCAGGGGGCCCCCAGCCGCCCGCTGGACCCCGCCTCCGGCCTCCCAGTGTCCCCTGACCCCAGCAGGCGCCCCCAGCGCTGCGGAGCGCTGGGTCATCTGACAGCCAGGAGGGATGTTATCTGCCTCGGTCGGTGCCCGGACCACCCGCGTGTGCTGCGCGAGCACATCTGCCCACAGCATGCGGGCACCTCCTGCGCGAGGTCCCCGTGAGCGGCTGGCGGGCGGCCACCGCGTCCCGGTGACCCGCTGCGCGCCCGGCCCC